TGTCGTCGTAGACAGACCTAGGCTGTCGATAAAAAACAGGATCGTCTATTCCGCGATACGAACCTACCATACTAAATCAGTGGATTTTACGTACAAGAGCTGCCTAGAAACCGTATGGTATCTGGGTGTCATCATTGTAGCGGACAACGAATGTCTGCGTTCCACCGCACAGCTCGTTCTTCACCTTCAGCATCGTGTCACCCAGAGGAACCAGCAAAGAGAAATAGACCACAAGAACAAGAGCAACCAGAGAGACGAAGTGCACCAGGGATTCGAACTGGCTTCGGCATCGGCTGTAGCTGACTTGTACCGGCTCAAGACGATGTATCCTCTGACGGATCTTGATGGGGGCCATGCCCTCGAATAGGAATTCGTCAACGTCCAAAACGGCGTTGAGGGCCACTGCGTTCAACATCAACTCCTCGATGCTTGTTGTTCGAGCCAGCCAAAGAATTCCTGCCCCCATCAAGAGAGATGCGATCACCGCCCGAACCAAGTAAATGACCAGCAACACAAAAAAGCGCGACCAAGATAGGCTCTCAAAGGAGTTGTTGCGGAACACTGATTGATGTGACTTGGGAATCCCAATCGTCGCCTCAAGCTGCTGCCAAATCTTGCGAAACTCCTGCAAACGTGGATGTGCAGAACTTCAATTTTTAATAGAGGAAGATAGGGGCCGCAAGGACTAGAATAGGGTTTCTGATACGGAGCTTTTGGGACTAAGCTTGATTATAGATGATAAGTACATAAATAAACGAAGGTTGATGTAGACGGAGAGATAGCATGCCTCGACAGTGATATATATATATATATATATATATATATATATATACATATATACATACATATACATAAGTAGATAGCATTGTTGGGCAGTGAACACAACACATGTCAGTGGCAGCCTACTGTCAGCCCTACGCCCCCCGAATCCATGGTTCAGCCCTGTGCCTGGTAGATGCACAAGCTCCAAAAAACAATACACAGGAGACATAGAAGCGTACCTGGTTGCCAAAAGGGAAACTCAATCTGCGTCTTTTCGAGGCCGAGGAAGCTGTTAACGTGATTGACGAGTATCGCTTGGGTTGTGGACAGAATTAGCGCTGAGTCACCATTGCAAACTCTGGACACCAAGCTGGTGGATGACAAATCCAGATACTTGGCATCATGCGCTACACTGGTGCGCCAGATCTTGGCGCTGTCAATCTCCTTCTCCAAGCTGTCGCCCATGAACCCTTCCGAGAGAAGAACCCAGGTGAACGCCACCTGCATAAAAAGGTTCAGTAAAACAAGTATGATCGAAAAAGCATGGTCGAACCAGCCCGCATCGACCAATCCAATGAGCAGTGGAACGCTCCAGGTGCTAGCCTCGAAGCAGACGTCGGTAAGATCCTCCGGCTCTTGACCAGTCCTGGCTTCCCTCACCGTCACCTTGAGGGAAGACGGCTTGGCCTCCGGCGTTTCTGAATCGCTTGCTTTGGGAAGTCCAAGGGCCTCCTCGATGGCCGCCAGGCGAACCAAGATACTCGTCACGTCCGCTTCCAGGCCCTCCCGCAGCAGCGCAAACTGCTCCTCAAGGAGGCCCGGCATCTGAATGCTGATGCCTTCCGGTTCATCGGCATCTTGAGCGACCTCTCTTTTGTGAGGAATGCGAGGCTCCGGCATGGCTGCAACGTGTGGAAGCCACTGGTTGAACCTTCGTCTCGGCCCGCGTGCACTACAGTGGAATTCGCAGGGCAGCGTGCCAAAATGGATCAAACTGCTTGGCTGGATTCGCAAAACAGGCACATGACTCGGAATAGAAGCCAAGAGCAACTTTCAGCCAAGGACTTGCTGCGGGACGGTCCAAACTTTTCAACCGTTGCACACAGCATGACCTCGTTGCAATCATGGTACACTTGAGTGACGGTTGTGGGACTGTCCCGGCGGCAGCTTCCGTATTACCCTAAACTGCGTGCGAGTAGTAACTATGTATGCAACATCGCCTCCCAGATCAAACCTGCTTCTTCCGAGCATCTTAGGCAATTGTCCTTTCGGTGGTCTTTCTGTTCCTGTGTGCAGTCCTCACTGCTACGAGTTACGAGTACCCTGTACAAGTACGACAGTTTTGCTGTCGGGGTTATGACCTTTTGTGGGGCTGAAAGCTAGAGCTGGCTTTTGGTTGAAGGTTGAGATATGCGAAGGACACCTCTGTAGCATGGCTCCATGGCGTTCGGCTTAGGGTGAAGGTGCGTCTATATGTTTAAATATGTGCACTTATGTATTTGTTGTTCAGACTCTTTAGACATTCATATCTATATACATGGATACATACTATATACATGCTGATAGATATAGACCTGTATAGGACATGCACAGGTATGTATGCACCCCTTGGACATGGCATCTTGTGATGCGCAGGACAGTTGGGCAGCACACAGTCTCCACGCGGCCTTCTTCCCGCCATGGCCATCCAGAACCCCAAAGAAGGCGCTCGCGGAGCCTCAGGAGCTGATACTTGTTCCCCTGAGGCTCAACATGACCCGAGAGCGGTTTGTGGTTTTCGATCTTTGGCTGCGCCTCACGGTGAAGATGTGTCTTCCGAAGAAGGATATGGGAGTTTCCGAAAAATCAGTGACCCTAATACAGTGCCCTAAATGGTAGGATCCTTATTATAACGACCCCCAAACAAGGCACCCCCAATTTTCGGAAACTCCCACATCTGTCACAAACGGAACAAACAGTTCATGACACTTCTGGATCAATGGCGCCTTCGTGGCCGGCCTCCAGGAAATGCGCGTCCTGTAAAGCAGGTTATGCATGCTTGTGCAATGATACTTCGTCGTAGCATGGACTTACTGCATCATGCTGCATCCGATTTCTCATGTGTTTTGCAAGTGTGTGTCGGACTTTTGCTCGCATTTCATGGCCTCTAGCAGGTCACTGCTGCATGCTGTGAAGGGCTCCTGGATTTCGTAGCACATGTGACTCGTCTTTGCAAGTCCTCGTGAGTGATGCGCCAGCCCTGCATTTCGGCCACCGCAGTGCGCCATTTACAGGACCCTGGCATCAGGACGGGGAAGTTTCAGGGTAGGGGTCTGAATGCCAAGACTCGCTCAGGCAACACGGAACGACGACGTAACCTGAGGTTTCGAAAACACATACACCGAATCTCCAATCACGTCCTTTGTACAAATGCACGAAGAACTTGACCCGCAAGGCCTTGTGAGGTGCGGCGTTCCACACGAACGGCGTCGATGGGCGACGAAGCGAAAGCACCCATGGCTTCACTGTTTGAGGGCCCAGGGCTTACAAAGCTTGCTAGTCGGTGTTGAGGCTGCGAGTAAGTTTGAGTTAGGTTTCGAGCTCTCAGCACTCGCTGGAAACTTCGAGTGAGGATGTGTGTAAGGTTTTTTCCCTCCTACTCAGCATGGACGAAGGTTTTGAGCTATGGAGACTGGCGGAGCGAGCCGAGGGCACTGGGTCTCTAGCTGAAACCCACAAGGCTCGTCGAGTTTAAGTATGGGACAAGATATCCAGCCTTCCCGTGCGGGAACATACATATAGATAGATAGGTAGGTATGTACATCATAATCAATATGTGTATGTGCCGATATAATCTATAACAAGGTTAGGCGTTGCAAGCTGATGAGGAAACATTTGCCTGATGGCCCTACATACATGCTTGGAGATAGGCCTTAATCGGCGGAAGGAAACTATTCGGCGATGGCTTGCACCTGGCAGCCAAAATAACTTTTTATCACATCGAGGGGTTGGGAATCGTGGCATATTATACTATTGCAAAAAGAAGCCACCCCCCCAGAAAAAAACACAACAGGTAGTTAGTAGTACTAAGGCCCCTCTATTCAATCCTCATAATAGCCCTTTAAAGACTGCTTTATAATATAGGTAATTATCAGGGCCCCTAAATTATTTGAGGGGAGTTGGTTTAGGCACCCTTTTCAACGAGGAGCTTGAACTCGTGCTCCCGCTCTTGCTCCAAGCCCTAACACCCCCCAAAACCTGGCTGATAACTCAGACTGTATGGGCCTTAATAATCAGAATAAGCTTGGGGGGTATATTATACTTCATAGTACAGTCAGGAACCCCCCAAAAAATCCTATTCTAATGATTAAGGCCCCTACTTTAAAGACTGTGAGCTGATCCAAGCGTCGGTTCAGATTGTCCAGGATTGTCTGGATAGCTCGTCGCTGTCCATCGGCATGGGACCAGAGCCCAAGATTCCGTCCCAAGTCGGACTCCTTTGAATTAGGGCTTTAGGCCGACTCCTTTAAAACTCAGAGCGACCCCTACATAATTTCCGAAACCCCCAAGTGATAAGCCAGCCCACATATCACAGATATGTCCAGAACACTCCCCCAAAAGTATCTGCCTGCGGGTGGACAAATGTTTGTGTGTGTGTGTAGGTATTGCTCCTGTGTTGGAGCGCATCAGTCTAGGCCTAGTTTTGGTTTAGAGTCGATAGGGTTCGGAATTGATGGCGGTTGTGGTAGGTTTGGGCATTATGACTTGAAGTACTCATGCAACAAGTCTTAAACAAGGAAGCCCTAAACCCAACACCCTCAAAGTTAAGAAAAACCGACAAAACCCGCAAGCATTCCAAAGAACACTTCCTACACCAGAGGCACAAATGCCAAGACACTCACGAATATAGCCAATTCATTAGTGCTAGAACCTCGCGCTAAGCAAAGGCGCTCCTGACCAAACAGTGCAGCCACTGCAAAAACGACCTCAGGTTGCCAGCAGAATCCCATCAAAGTACACAGTAGAATACTTTGGAAGATAGTTGGAAAGACAAAATACATGAGTAAACATATATATATATATATACATATATATATCTTGGTGTGTGCGTCGACCCTCCCGAAAAATTTTAAGGGATCTGGGCCTGGGAGCCTCGCATATGATGATGACTGATGATGATGATGGTGATGATGATGTTGCGGCCCATGAACCTTGAACAAGCCTCGGAACCTGATGACATTGATGACAGATGATGACGATGAGGACTCCACGGGGCATGCTTAATTTTCCAAGCCTCGATGATGACTGGTTACCCTCAGTCAGGGAGTCTGTGTTCGACTGAATCTGCGACGGAACAAGACTCGCCGCAAGCAACCCAGCTCCCTGGGCTGAGACCTGTGCTGAGCCTGACAACCCAACGAACTATTCTACCTGGGAGCCTGGGAACCTAGGAACCGAACCTTTGCCGAGCCTCGTGATGATTGTCAGATTGTCATGTCACGGCACATGTCTCAGCCCAGCCAGGGAGGGAGTCTTGCGGCAGATCTTCAACCGCAGATGCATTCGGCAACAGTCGCAAAGCCGGACTGGTGAGGAGCAGCATCATCATATTATGATGATGTTTCTCCTAACCAGTCCGGCTTCCCGAGTAGCGGTTGAGAGCATGCCGAGCTTGCACACGCTCTCCTGCAGCCCGTGTCTGGGAACAGGCAAACAGGCAAAGAGTGTTAGTCTCCAGCAACCTTTTAGAAACTGTCAGACCAATCCGGCTGGACTACAGACAACTTGCAAGTCAACTCTACAAGCCCGTGGCACGCATATCCTCTGGGCCCCCTGGGCCTGGAAGCCTCGCATATGACTGATGACTAATGATGATGATGGTGATGATGATGTTGCGGCCCATGAACCTTGAACGGGCCTGGGAACCTGATGACATTGATGACTGATGATGGTGATGATGATGTTGTGGCCCATGAACCTTGAACGGGCCTGGGAACCTGATGACATTGATGACAGATGATGACGATGAGGACTCCACGGGGCATGCTTATTAAATTTATTTAAATTTATTATTGTAGCCTCGATGATGACTGTCATGCCACGGCACAGGTCTCAGCCCAGCTATTCTACCTGGGAGCCTGGGAACCTAGGAACCGAACCTTTCCCGAGCCTCGTGATGATTGTCATGTCACGGCACATGTCTCAGCCCAGCCAGGGAGGGAGTCTTGCGGCAGATCTTCAGCCGCAGATGAATTCGGCAACAGTCGCGAAGCCGGACTGGTTAGGAGAAACTTAATTAATTTCATTTGCGATTGCCGAGCTGAACCTGGAAGCCGATACGACACGGGCTGAAGGAGAACATGCCGAGCTTCGACACGCTCTCCTGCAGCCCGTGTCTGGGAACAGGCAAACAGGCAAAGAGTGTTAGAACCCAGCAACCTTGTGAAACCTAAACTCTCAGACCAATCCGGCTGGACTACAACTTGCAAGTCAACTCTACAAGCCCGTGGCACGCATATCCTCTGGGCCCTCTGGGCCTGGAAACCTCGACTGATGACTGATGATGATGATGGTGATGATGATGATGATGTTGCGGCCCATGAACCCTGAACGGGCCTGGGAACCTGATGACATTGATGACTGATGATGGTGATGATGATGTTGCGGCCCATGAACCTTGAACGGGCCTGGGAACCTGATGACATTGATGACAGATGATGACGATGAGGACTCCACGGGGCATGTGTTAAAATTATATCTTTATTTAAAATTTAATTAGCCTCGATGATGACTGTCATGCCACGGCACACGTCTCAGCTGGGTTCAGACTCCCTGACTGAGGGTAACAGACTGAGCCTGGCAACCCAACGAACTATTCTACCTGGGAGCCTGGGAACCTAGGAACCGAACCTTTCCCGAGCCTTGTGATGATTGTCATGTCACGGCACATGTCTCAGCCCAGCCAGGGAGTCTTGCGGCAGATCTTCAGCCGCAGATGAATTCGGCAACAGTCGCGAAGCCGGACTGGTTAGGAGAAACTTAATAATTTCATTTGCGGTTGCCGAGCTGAACCTGGAAGCCGATACCACACAGGCATGCAGGAGAGCATGTCGATTCGACACGCTCTCCTGCAGCCCGTGTGGGAACAGGCAAACAGGCAAAGAGTGTTAGAACCCAGCAACCTTGTGAAACCTTCAACTCTCAGACCAATCCGGCTGGACTACAACTTGCAAGTCAACTCTACAAGCCCGTGGCACGCATATCCTCTGGGCCCTCTGGGCCTGGAAACCTCGACTGATGACTGAAGATGATGATGGTGTTGGTGATGATGATGTTGCGGCCCATGAACCTTGAACGGGCCTGGGAACCTGATGACATTGATGACTGATGATGGTGATGATGATGTTGCGGCCCATGAACCTTGAACGGGCCTGGGAACCTGATGACATTGATGACAGATGATGACGATGAGGACTCCACGGAACCATTATTATATTTTATCAGCCCAGGGAGCTGGGTTGCCAGCGGAGCAATTCAAAGTTCTGCCGAACACAGACTCCCTGACTGAGGGGAACAGACTGAGCTTGGCAACCCAACGAACTATTCTACCTGGGAGCCTGGGAACCTAGGAACCGAACCTTTCCCGAGCCTCGTGATGATTGTCATGTAACGGCACATGTCTCGGCCCAGCCAGGGAGGGAGTCTTGCGGCAGATCTTCAGCCGCAGATGAATTCGGCAACAGTCGCGAAGCCGGACTGGTTAGGAAAACTTATTTTAGCCGAGCTGAACCTGGAAGCCGATACCACACGGGCACGGCATGCAGGAGAACACCTCGAGCTTCGACACGCTCTCCTGCATGCCCGTGAACCTGGGACGGCGCGGAAGCGGCAGAATCTCTGCCGCTTCCACACTGTTTTTCTCCAGAAATTGTGACACCTAAAACTCTCAGACCAATCCGGCTGGACTACAACTTGCAAGTCAACTCTACAAGCCCGTGGCACGCATATCCTCTGGGCCCTCTGGGCCTGGAAGCCTCGCATATGACTCAGATGACTGATGATGATGATGATGGTGATGATGATGTTGCGGCCCATGAACCTGGAACGGGCCTGGGAACCTGATGACATTGATGATCGATGATGACGATGAGGACTCCACGGCGCATGCTTAATTTTCCAAGCCGTTGAGCCTGGACTGCAATTGATGTTCCGCGTGCACGCCGTGCATTCCCCGCAGCATCAATTCGAACCAGGTGTTTCCAGTGGAAACACCTGGTTCGATTGATGCTGCGTGTGGCGCCTGGGGCCTGAAGTCTGTTGCTGCTCTGTTGCATGCACCGGCAGTGAACATCCACGGAACGGCCACCGGCAAGGTTTCCATGTCCCCAGACTCCCTCAGCGACTCTGCCACGGTCATCTGTCCGCCCTTAAAGGGTGGACAGATGACGGTGGCAGAGGCGAACCCAGGCGAACAACCATGGAGCCTGGCAGCAACCTTAAAATCTTAAATATTGGGAG